GAATAACATTTTTTCATATTCGGACTCGAGTCCGAATAAAACAAATTCTTATTCGGACTCGAGTCCGAATATGAAAAAATGTTATTCGGACTCGGGACGGAAAAAAGGAAGTGTCTTCGTTCTACAGATCTAAATGTTCAGTGCTTCCAATTTTCCGCCATTTTTTAGTTTCCCCCACACTTTATCTGCCGATCCAATGCCCTCCTCCTCCTCCTCCTCCTCCTCCTCCAGACCTTAGGAGAAGTCGACTGCTGGTTCTTCAGCCTGCAGTACAATTGATTTTTACATAGGTGACCGCTTTTCATACTTCGTAGGGCTCCTTGATTTCAGGCAGCCACGTTCAGATTTCAAAGGTACTCTTTATATTTTTATACAGACTGAGTATTGTCAGGTTTTGGTATGAATTAATTTTGAATTTTGCCTTGGTGGCGGCCGAAGCCTATTCTTATATCGATTTTAGAACCACCAAGAGAGAGCTTAAAGTGCGCAGCTGGCTCATGGGACCTCCGAGATTTTTTGTCCTTTCGAGAAAGCCAAATGTTTGGTCACTCCTACCCTAAGATCAGGGATGCGTGGCTGAAAGACAGTAGTAAGAAAGAGCAAGGAGAAGCAGTACTTGTAGAAATAGTCAGGAGCAAAGGAAGGAGGAACCCACTGGCCGGGGGTGGGCCGGGTTAGAGCGAGAAAGTGGAGATGAAAGCAGACGACAGAACATGTCTAGAAGAAAGGATACGAGGTGAAAAGAGAAAATTTTGGAGTAAAAAATGTAATGTTTCCGTCGCTGTCTGGTTTCGTTCGATCCTGGAACCTATTGAATGTGAAGCGAACGCGTACTTCTAGACCGCAAGAGCCCCGTATGTTTGGTCCTGATTGTTCTGTTTTTTAATGATGTTCCAGGGATTTTTTAAAAACCAAATCACAGTACACACATGTACATGAAATTGTATTTCTATGTTCTATGAAATGATCCCAAGTAGAAATGTGTGTGCCGGTGTGTTGCTATTTGTTTGGTTGCTTTTTGTTTCTGTTTCTGTTTTCTTTTTTTCTCTCTCAATTTCTACACTACTGATACACACACGCACATGTATGCTTTATAAAATGACTCCCATCATAAATCCGTGTGCATGTTTGTTTGTTTATTTGTTTGGTAATTTTTTTTCATTGTATTTGTACTTTATTGATATGTACACGTACATGTATGTTTAATCAAATAACACCTATTATAAATTTATGTGATTGTCTGTGTGTGTGTATGTGTGTCTGTGTGTGTTTGTGTGTATGTGTTTGTGTGTGATTCTATGTATGTTTGTATATGTATGTGTGTGTGTGTGTGTGTGTGTGTGCAAGTGTCAGGAGGGGCTTATAACGTGTTTGTGTGTGTGTGTGTGTGTGTATTTGTATGTGTGTTTGTGTGTGTGTGTGTGTTTGATCGTGAGGGTAAGAGTATGATCGTATAGGAGTATGATAAACCAATCATGGAGAAACAATATCAAATCGGAAAACAAAGATGAAACGGAAAATTGCAATCGCAGCATCTAAACTGAAAATGATGACATCCACCTGAAGAGGACAATGCAAAGAGAGAAAAACAAAAGTTCAAACTCTAAGAACATTATGGAGAATGTTTTAAAACTTGCTACTGAGCTGAGAACATTTTAAAATAAATTTTTCTTTAAAACTCTCCCTGCGACAGCTCCTTATTGCTTTACGCTGTGATCAACTTCTTTCTTTCTTGTTCCTCCTTATGAACAGATTGGCGGGAGATTTGACTGAGTTCTAATTAAGCTTACTTAAAATCGAGACGAAATGTAACATGTTTGGTCTAATTGTATTCGATACTCTAGGCGATTACACCAAGTTCAACTGTAACAAAGAAATATAGTAAAATACTAGTCGCTGTTCCCCGGTCGCTGTTCCCCGGTAAAATGATGTCAGCAGTCGCTGTTCCCCGGCGCACCCGGACATCAATTAGTGAGGTTGTGAATTTCTTTCTAATGCAAAAATGATCTATTTGATTTTTAGTAATTCCATGTGGTGAACACCAAGTAAGTTTATGGATGACTTTGTGTGGAAAAATTGTTCTGCCTATAACAAGATTGTTTAGGTGGCACATTTCAATCAGCCTTTCTCCATTGTTGTTTATACTGCCAACTCCATGCTGGCCCTTTATATTTTCTGTTCCTTCGTTTGTTTCTCCTACTTTTAAACTCAACTGGCGTGTCCACACTTTCTCTCCTGCATAAAAAAGTGAACAAAAGACTATTTTTTCTTAGAAAGCTCAAGTATTTTAAAGTTGATAAAACATTGATGTCCATGTTCTACCATTCAACCACAGAAAGTATGATCAATTTTTGTATAACAGCATGGGCCGGGAACACAAGACAACAAGATAAAGAAAAATTAAATCGACTAATACGGAAAGCATATAAAATTTCAACATCTTCATTCCCGTACTTGGATGAATTGAACATAACAGCTTGCACTAAGAAAATTAATTCCATCTTTTTAGACAACAAACATCCCTTGTTCCCTCAAATAAAAACATCAGTCAGAAGTAAAAGACCCATGCTTCTGATCTGTAACGAAGAAAGATACAGAAGGTCATTTTTACCATCATCTATCAAAATGCTTCCATCTTAACCATCTTGTTTAGTGTACTTACGACCTTAGAGCATGCATCAAAATAACATTGAGTGTGTATCTAGCTTACGATTATTATCGTTTATATTGCTGCTCATATTATGTATGTGATTGTAAGCCTACTTGTGTGTGCATGTGCGTGCACGTGCGTGCACGTGTGTGTGTGTTTGTGTGTGTGTGTGTGTGTGTGTGTGTTTGTGTGTGTGTGTGTGTGTGTGTGTGTATGTGTGTGTGTGTGTGTGTGTGTGTGTACTCGTGGTGGAACACCAAACCAATGTGCCAGGATCTGGACAATAAAGATGTATCTTATCTTATCTTATCTTATCTTACTTTTGTGTTTATGTCACCTATCACACAGTTACTGGTGTCATTCACATACAATTATTATGTCTTTGGAAATTTCTAAATACTGTTTTGCCACCTGGAAAACAGTTTGAAAGTTAAAGTTAACATGAATATCCTGGTGACTGAACATTCTAGCCTCTTTAATGAGATACTTATAACAGAGCCAGTTTAAATACTTTTATAATGGTTATCGTGTTCTGGTTTGTGAATTTTAGCGAACACTGGAGCAACACTGCCGAGAAGTTAAACTTCTTCAACAAGAAAAGTTTGAGATGGAGCGGCAAATGCAAGGGCTGATTAAAGAGCGCGATGGAATAGCATTAAAGTTAATGGAAGGTCTCACTTCTGAACAAGTGAAGGTGAGAACAAAATGGCATCATCATGGAATGTGGTGCAGTTTAGTAATTTGTTAACAATAGATTCTTGGATTCAATGGAAATGTTCAATATTTTTTAGTGATTGTTTTTTTGCTGTGAAAAAAAGCTGTTGAGAGTGCTTAATAATAATAGATAGCATTGGTGTAGCGCAAATCCCAGCTCAGCAGCACACTCTATGCCCTTCACAATCTATACTATTACCCCAGCAGACCTGAGAGCATTCTGAAACAATCTGAAATTCCTGGGAAGCATACAGTGCAAGTGGCCATTTATAGGGGCTAAAACACTAACATACTGACAAGATCTTTCGCTGTCTATGGCTGGGTACCCGTTCCCACCTGGGTGAAGTAAGGAAAATTCGTTTTTAAAAGTACCTTTCCCAAGGACACAGCGTCGGGACAGCGGCGCGTACCCCCTAACCGACAACCTCAGGATTACGAGTTCGGTTGCCTAACCACTAGGCCACCGGCGCTACTAGGCATATATTTTAGTATGGTTCGCTCCTTTTACTTCTTTTGATGTTTCTAATATCATAAATCATTCCCTGCTGAAATGCTTTTAAAAATTTTATTTGTAACTAGTATTCAGTAAATTTGATTTTTCTCAAAGAGTTTACAGAATGTTGGAAGGTAAAAAGACAAAATTATTAGATGGCTTTGCTAAATGAGTTGAATATCTCTCAATCCTGCAGTTAGTTTAAGTCATAGCTTTCGTTTTGGTAAAATATTTCTGTTTTGTTTAGTGAGAGCTTTTCCCTCTGTGTCTTATTTTTGATAATCCAATATAAAATGTAAAATTGTGATGTCTATTTAACTGTAATGCACTTTGAGCTTTTTTTTTAGAAAATGGAAATGCGCAGCTTAAATCTTATTTATAATGATTTATTTATTATTGTAATGTCAATGAACTTGGTAGTTTCGGCTTTTTGTTCTCCTTAACTCAAAACTAGTCCTTGCAGGAAGTGGAGTCCAAACACAAAGAAGAAAATGAAAAACTGCAACGTAAGCTCCGCTGGTATGCAGAGAACCAGGAGTTACTGGATAAGAGCAACGCTCGCATCAGGGTCAAGGATGAGGAGATACACAGGCTTAAGCTGAGATTGGAGGATTTCAAATCTGAGGTAACTGGGGTCATGTTTTTGCTGCTCTACAAGGATAGATGAGCCTTTCCCTTTTGTTCCAGTGCTTTGGAGCAATATTTTGAAGGGCATTATGCTGAATGTTGTGTTGAACCCGTATTGAGCCAAACCACCACTAGGAAAAAACCCCACTTAGGTATAAGTATTGAGCTGCAAGATGCAACACATGTCAGGTTTAATGCAAGATTATGATTTTGATTTCTGTCTGTTTCAGGAAACATCAAATATAGTGAAATACAAAATTTGGAAATACCAACTTTGTAGTTACGTATGATTAATCTTTGCCTAGTATGAAATCTTTGGATTCATGAAAAAAAATTGTTCAAGATTTTTTGAAATAGTTAAATAACTATAAAAAAATGTTTTTTCAAGAGTAACAAATTTAGAAATTGAAAATGTTCAAACGAAAAGAAAATGTTATTACAAGTATCTATATATCGCTGGTGGAGTGATGAAACCTCGTAACCCTCAATTTTTTCGAAATTCGTTTTTTTGGCTTAATGTCTTTTCCCAGTCCTTCTTCACAATGTGTCAAAAGCACTAGGTCATATTAGTAAGAGAAAGTATGAAAAATACTTAATAAGAAAGCCTCGTATGTTTGCCCCCATGATATCCTGGCGTGATGAAACCTCGCAACCCTTACCTGGTGCGCCGATCTGCTTTTGCGTGGTTTCATCACTCCCGGTTTGAGAGAGCGGCTTACTTTTACGAGGTTCTGGACAAGCTTTCTATATGAACCGGCTTAATTGAAGCGCTCATAACTGACATTGTCTGGTGCATTTAATGTATCTGACGGAATAAAGAAATATTTCATTCCTTCATCCATACATTCATTCATTCTTTTACTCATTCACTTTATTTCACTCAGTTCAGAAGTTCAAATATGGTCATAAGTGAAGTACTTACATTGTGTAAATCTATTAAAAATCGATTCATAAGGATAACTAACTTGCTGATAATCAAGATGTTCTCATCGAGCACAAACGTAGTTAACATTTAAGTTAAGGCAACAGTCACACCTTGAAATGACAGGTGACGGTAGTCCTTACTTAGACTAGGTGACAGATCTGTGCACTCTCCAGATGTCAACAGGCCATTCTGTTTATCAAAGAGAGGGTAAGGTTTTGCATCTTCTCAGACTATGAATCTGCTGTGTAGTCGAATCCTCCAGTTGTGGTTGAGACCGAATAGTACTTAACTTAACCATGGTCTTGATGACTCTCAAGTCTTTAGAGGACATTGTGACAAATTTGTGGCTCAACAACACAAGTAATACGGACATTTCCGAATGTGTCTTGTATATCTCCTTCTAACTGTGCTCATCACCTAGATCTTTATACCCTACAAAGGCTGGTTTGGAAACCACTGAACAGACCACGTTCAATGGATTGACCCCAGCCACCATGTTGCAGTCCTTTCCAGGGCTGTCCCTGATATGTGGAGATAAGGAAGTATCAGCATCATCCCAGACTGAGTCTGCACCAACAATAGTGTCGCCTGGAATCATACCCCAAACCATACTGACGTTTCACCAGGCAGCTGTAAGTCAGATGCTGAATTATTACCTTCGAGGTCACAGCAACACAATCTGTAGATCATATTCAGGCACCGTAGCCACCTTTCCTGGAGCCTGATCCCGAGACACAGCTCATTTGTTATGCCAGCATAAATGATGCTCCACAGAGGAAAAGAAAGGGTTTTTAGGAGTGGCAACAAATAAGCGAAAAGCTATCCGTGGATCGGGACAGGATCGGAATACATAATGGTTCAACGAAAAGACCAGCTAAGTTATTGAAACCAAACTGTGATTACAAGAGCTGGACTCTGAAATATAAAGGGCTCTCTGAAGTTGATAGACTTTCTAATTTTGATTTAGTGTGGTCCCTCTCATGGGATGACTAGTGGACCTCGGAGGAGGTATTCAGAGACTAACCAGATAGAGAATACCTTCAATAAACACTTTTAAAAGGTGTCCATAGGTGCCAGTGTGTTAAAAGGTGTTCCTGAATTGAACTGGGTTGGATGAATGATTTGTAAGAAACATTTAGAACCAATAATTATCAAAGTAACTCAGATATCTACAAAATATATGCACAAGTCTGCCAAGACCCCGGAGGCGGCCTCTCAAAAGACCCGCCGTCGATGAAGCATTCAAGCAGAATAACGTGTCGCTGTTCCTGTCAAAGATAGATATGTACCACCTTTGCATCAGTCGTGAAGTTGACAATGTGCTGGAGGATCTTTGGAATGCTCACATTCTAGAAAAGGAGGCTGCGCGCAAAGAAAATCTGCCGTCGGCTTGCTAGGCCAGTCATGGTTTCACTAGAGCCCCTTTAGCCAGCAACGTTTCAGGGTGACCCGGGTGGCCTTCACGGCTAGCGTAACGCCTCAGTGACATAAAGTCACACCGTACTTCACCCAGACCCAGCTATCCCCTACTTTGTCCTGTTTCCACCTCCCCCAACGAGGACGAAGGGTTGGAGGCATCTTTATCTGATATTCTAGCAAAATAAGCAATATGTCTAAAATAGCATGGAAAATATGATGAAGATTATTTTTCTACAACTGGGGAGAAGTGGGCCTCACGTGGGGAGAACTGGGCTGATGGTGGCCCACTTACTCCCCATTGGTAGTGTAACTATTCAAATGTCTGTTTTCTTCAACTGGCAGTTAAAACACGGAGAACAAAAGAAAAGTAAGTAATCAGATAAGTTCTTTAACTATTGTTACACTTACCCGATCTGTTTTGCTCCTCTTTGTGGTAAAGTTGCGAGTTTCAAAATTCGAGTATTTCAACTTTTTCTTGATGAAAATCTCTTTTCCACTCCATTCACTCAAACTGCCCTGAAATCAAAAAGAAGTTGCTTCCATGTGCTGGAAACAATTTTTGTTAGTTTTTTAATTATATGCAAAATTGCACTAGACCTCTAGATTTGGCTCTTCAGGGGGTCTCCCCCAAAAAACGACTTTCCCCATCTATCTAACTTTTCTCTCAGTATGTAGATCAATGGCTCTCACTGGATCTGTTGACGCCAAATATAATTGGGTTTCCATTCTCTGTCTCCCTGAATACATCTACAAAGAGAGTAGTATCTCAGAAAGACAAACTTTTAGGAAAGGCTCATATATATGCAAGGCAGCGTGGTCAAATCTGGCGCTCGTCAAAATAATGAAATCAAAGAAGCAGGCATTTTTCTTGGCGTCTGGCAATTTTTAAATTTTTTTTTTTTTTGCATAACACCTTGCATGCCCATTAACAAAACACATTTCTGTGTTGTTTTTATGAATATGTTAATTAAAAGCACAAAAAAAGTGAATATTCAGTTTCCAGGAACTCTCGAACCATAGAAGTCACTTGACTTTGAAAGCCACTTTCGCTATAAATTTACTGCTGATATCAGGTAACCCCCACCTCCTTCACTTCAGTCACAAGTACCTCGACTTCTATCCAAATACATGTAGATAGGTTTTTTTTCATTGAAAAACAGACAAATGAACAAGCTTGAAGATGGCACAGATACCTCCATATTTCCCAAAACGTGACGAGCGCCTGATTCCACCGCGCTGTGACACATATATGAGAATGGGTTTATTTTCGTTATTTAAAAACTTGTCTCTACCTTTGTTTTTTTAACTTTTCTTTCTGAACAGGCTGGTCGTAAACTTGAGGAAAACAAAATTCGATCGAAGGAAAAAGCTGCAAGTGCTAAGAAAATTCAAGATTTGGAAAGACAGGTAAAGTTGATGCAGAGACCTAGCAATTTTGACGAGACAGTACACTTGGGCCAGACCGCGAATCTGACCCATCCCATGGCAACAGGAATTAGGACGGTTAACTCAAACAAACATGGCTGATTTTAAGAACACACACTGTAAGCGGTGTGCAATAAACTAAATTAATTAAAAAAACAGACGGCCTGAATTAGCTTTTTAACATTTTCCTAAAGACCCTGAAAGGTAAGTCAATTGGTGGATAAGTAGATAAAGCTTTAATAGCATAGGCCTATTATTCAGTGAAAATTTGTTTAAAAACACACACCTTTGTATTCACCATGAATGAAAGCTTGTGTCGTAACTTGTGTTTTAAGTCACGGCGTCACTTTTCGCCCGATTCTGTTACTTTTAGTTCGCGTGACTCAGCAGCCCGCCGGAGCTCCCCGGCTCGGGGTGATGGGGTTAATGAGCCCTGAAGCGACTTTGCCGGTGTCGGTTAGGAAGTTCGCATTTTTTACTATGTTTAAAACGATATAACTTCTTCCCCATCCCACATAGCAAACCATTACGCGGATGTACTAAAAGCTCAATGTCTTGAGATTTATTCTGCGTTAGAATGGTTAATTTCTGTGCCTTAGTTTTTGTTCTAGACAAGTGTTTGTAGAGTACCCAATTTGTCCTATTTTAGTTACAAACTTATGAATAAATGATTGTTAATTTAAAAAGGGCACGACAGATCTCTCCAAAATCTGTGTTAAACTGACTACGAATATCATGTCTTCTACCATGAGAAATGTTAAATATGCGCGAGTAGAAATAGTCAAGTTATAAGAGAAGAAAGATGCACATCTGCATTTTTTAACTAAAGACGATCAGCGTTAGCTCTTATTTTACTATTAAACAAGAGAAAGTTACTCTGCGTTTGTTCATGAATCATGCTGTGTCTGTGGCAGCCTGCATACAACTAAAAAGATATAATATAAGCGATTAAAAAACCCCACAAAACCATGTAAATAGATGGGTAGAGATAAACTTCTTGTGTGGAATAAAAATAATGACAGCTAACACATTCATTCTTAGTTTTTGTGTCGGAAATATGCGCGGACACAATTATGAATGTAAAGAAATCAGTCAAATTGTCAGTTATTGCAAATGGTCATAGAAACGAAAAATAAAGCTGGAAAAGTCTGGTGCTGATTCAGTGTCCCTGGAAGGCTAGAAATTATTCTTATAACCCAATTACGAGAAGTCATCCCTATTATTCAGCCAACTTACAAAACCTAGACTTTGCGTTTTAAGAAAAGTAAGGAATTTCTGGAGTGTAACAGATGCTGTTCGTGTATTAGATCTACATTGAAGATGTATTCTAGCACTAAAATCGATTTGTACTTTTCATAGAGAAACTTCATGGTGACTTATAAACTTTCGAGAAAATATGCAAATATTCAGGACTATATTAGACATATAAAGTTGTATTTAGAGGAATTACTTCATAGCGAATTGTATGCCCGATGGATAAAGTTGCAAAATTACAGCTTTCTATTATATGCGCAGATACCATCTTTTCTGAGTATCTGCACCAATGCTATGTTGTTCATGTTCCAAAAGTTCGACCGATTTTGACGAGGCCTTTTTTTATATTGATTTTTTTTCATTCACGCTAGTCAAAAAAAATTACGATTTAGCATTGTCGACTCCAGCGCGTCTAATGAAATAACCAGACAAGTTACAACGTCCGTTCTTTTTTGAGTCTCAAGAGCAGAAATGCATGCTTTGGGTGCACTAAATGAGAATTACCATAAATACAAGGACACATCTTAAATTGTAAGTTGAAAAGTACCAAAAATTAAGTCGGCCCAGACAGAGCGGCGACAGGGAGCTGACCCCCGTGTCCCCGACGTGATAAGGCGCCCGGCGGGGAACCCCCGCGGCAACTAAAATTCCACTGCCGGTGCGCCGTGAAGTATATCTGTATCTAGATCTAGATTCTAAATCTATTGTAAATCTAAGTTTTTGATCTAGGATTCCTCGCATCTGGAGATTAGAGAGTTTCTTAGGTTTAGATCTACCGTATCTATCTAGATCTAATTCAGTGCTCTTCTCCCAGTCAGGATCTAGATCTAGATTCGTTGGCACTTCTTCCCCTATACAAATGTGAGACTTCATTACAAAGTGAAGTGCTTAATTTTCACAAGTTCACTAAAACAAGCAGAGGAAGGCAGGAATGTTTCAACATTTGTAACACAAAGCAAGTTGGATTTAGCGTTACACTTGCACCAGGAAATAGATATGGTGAGTTGTATATAAATCTCTCTTGCTCTTTCTTTCTCTCTCCATTATTTTCTCTTTCGTTCTCTTATCCTCGTCTTCTTCATTGTTGTTGTTGAATAATTTATTATGCTACTTGTATTTGATATGCCAAAATTGTCTAGAATATTAATGTTATGGCCGCTCATAATCATTATTGTTGTTGTTTCCCTCCCCCTTTTTCCACTGATGATGTTGCTGTTGCTGCTGCTCTTGCTCCTAATGTTGTTGTCGTCACCGTTGTTATTATTGTTCTCTCTCTCACCCTCTCACCCCCTCTCTTTCTCTCTGTCTGTCTGTCTGTCTGTCTCTGTCTCTCTGTCTGTCTGTCTGTCTGTCTGTCTCTGTCTCTCTCTCTCTCTCTCTCTCTCTCTCTCTTCCAGGCCACAAAAAAACTTGACTGGCATGCCCACACTTCTCTCCCGCATGAAAAGAAACTGAACAAAAGACGCTTTTCTTTTTCTGAGGAATCTAGAGTATTCAAATATTGATATTTCATTGCTGTCCATATTATACCGTTCAACCGTAGAGAGTTTGATCAATATTTTTATGACAGCCAGACCGGAAACACAAGACATCAAGATAACGTAAAACTGAATCGATTAGTACGGAATGCGTACAAAACTTTAACATATTTCTCTCAATACGAAGAATTTACAATATTGCTTGCCCTAGGAACATTAATTCCATCTATTCAGACAACCAGCACCTTTTGTTCCCTCAAATTGAAATATCAACAATAAGTTAAATTACCAATGCTAAAGCGGAATAACATGGCAAAATGCGGAAAGTCATTTTTACCATACTCTATTAAACTCTTACCATCTTTACAATTTTATATTTCTATCGGAGCACCATCGGATTTCTATCAGAATGCGAAACGAAACTAATGAAAAACTGAAAATTAAACTACAGGGACTTCAGGCTCCTCAATAGAACTGTGCAACCTTTAAATGATTCTGAACCACTATTAATTTTATCGAATTTAAAAGTTATGTGGTTCCGAAGTTTTAGGCAGCCAAAGTGACGAACTTTCACAAATTATATAATATGTATAGATGCTAGATGCACGTGACTGTGGTAAGCTTAATATGAGGGCTAGTGTAAAAAAGTGTCTAAGAAACGATGTGTGAGAGAGTATGTGTGCATGAATGTGAAACGCGAACCCAATGTGCCAACGTTTTGACAAAAAGATATCATAATATCGTACCCAGTCTTATCTTATTTCTCTCTCTCTCTCTCTCTCTCTCTCTCTCTCT